TCATCCAACCTGATTTATTACAAGCCGAAATGGAGCATGGAGGTGTGTCATCCATAAGTTCAAGTTTCACTCGGACTCTACGGAAAATTACCATTGGGGGTATAAAGTGTCTAGTCGCTGACATGCAGAGAACTGCTGTGGCTCTTTCAGCTGATGTAATTCTAGCCACCTGTTTACGACCTTTTTTAGCGAACACTTTACTGTTTTTTGTAGGTACGGTGCATAAGCTTGTTTCATCAACATTAAAGATGCGATGTGGAGAGAACATGTGTTAATCTCGAACACTTTTCACAAGGGAGAAAAATTTATTAACAACGGGTTTGTTAAACGCGCTGGCTCTAGCAGCCGAAGTTGATTCCGGACTCCGGAGACTGATATCCGGATGCCTGTTTCGAAATCCTTTTAACCAGTGTATTCCTGCTTTACCCGTTTGAGTACAAAATGGGTGTTTTATGTTATTTCTCACAGCCAATTTATAGGCAAGAGAAAGAACGTCTCGTGCCGTTAGCCCATACATTCTGGATTCTATGTCGTGGTTGTATTCCACTAGTTCGCGTTCCTGTTCCATGGTAAAAACAGTACGTTTGCTACCCAGAAATTTTTCCCCGCCTAAAGCAAACACATTTTTTCCTTTAGCTCTTCTTTTAAGACACATAAGTGGTACCCCAAATTGTTTATGTGCTGTTTTAAAGGGCATATCTTTCGAAACAGCATCTAATGCCTCTACCATCGATTCCTGATTCCAGTTTTGACGAGTTGTTTTTCTTTTGTATGGAGCCATTTAACAATACCTAAAGATGGAAAAAAGCACATCACCATTTAACATATCTAATAAATTTCCATGTGGCCAAAATAATCCCGGGATCATTTTAGCTCACGAAGAAGGGATCATTTTAGCTGAAACAACAACATCACGTTTGCAAGTTGACACTGAACCTTACATTTTTATAAATCGCGACAAAACAATGTTAACTTATCGTCGAATTGTGGCTAACTCGACATAAAAAACAGCCATCACAATAAACCTTTCCGAACAAAAGTAACCAAACTTTGAAAAACACCTTACATTAGATTAGACACAGCACATTTAATAATTATTTTCACACAACGCTTAGGACACTACCAGTCTCACAGAACTTCCAGCAATGGCGAAAAACAATGTGTGGAAACGATTTTTACCCATATTAAACAGATGGCGTTAGTTGTGTTCTCAAAAACGATGGGGATCATTTCACCCTGAGGGATCATTTTAGGCACCTTACCCCTACTTCGAGAAATGCACAACGGTGGTTCTGGTGCTCATTCTAGAGTAAACAGGACACTCTCTAAAGTTAGGAAAAGATTTTATTGGGTCTGTTGTGGAGAAGACGTTGAGAACTGGTGCACGAAGTGCCAAACGGTGGCCAAACGACCGAAGATTAAGGCGCGAGGGCCGATGTAACCACACAACGTCAGTTCGCCTTTTAGAAGTGCAGGAGAAGTAGTCCAGTGATCGAAGAAAGGAACAAGGACACGGATAAGATCAAAGATCGCGACGATGGCTTACAGGAGAAGCTGCTGACAGAATGAAAACACTCTACGACCTTAAGGGTAACTCAGAAGGATTCTAGGCAGGAGATCTCGTATGGCTTCATAACCCCCAGAGACGAAATGGTCGTCGCCCAAAGTTATTACTAGACTGGGAAGGTCCATATACGGTCGTGACGAGGATCAACGATGTCGTTTACAGGATTCGACAAGGGCCGAAGACGAAAATGAAGACTGTTCATTTAGGTCGCCTCATGATGTACAACAGCAGCGCCATCGACGTTTCTGATCGGGACGATCAGAACTAAGGAGGGGACAGTGTAACGAAACCCATACGCCGCGCCGGTACGACGCCTATACGTTCTAGTATGTACGGCTTTGATTACTCATTGTCGGCGAGGGCGGCCGGATAAGAGCCTAGAAGCGGATGTCGGGACGGGTATTCGAGAACAAGCCTAGAAGCGGTGACGGAGCGGCTGTTTAAATGGGAACCACTGTCGGGAGGAATTAGAGTAGTCCAGACAATGGCAGAAGTCTAGTCAAACCTTTCCAGTCGACTCGGAATTATTATGTACATAATCGCTGTATAGTTAGTCGAGTAAATTGGAGTTTACCCACGTCGATTTTAAACACCTGTTCAATGTAATAATATATATTTTTACAAACTTAGATAACTTTAAAATTGAGAAAACGATATCAGATGCAAATGTTTTTGGTCAACAGTTTCTTAGATTTATAGAAAAAAATATTATTATTATTATTGTATAAAACGATCGGGCAGCGACCAACGCCTGCCCGCACTATTCAGTGTGGAAGAACAAATCCGTTTACGCAAATTGCAAGTCATACTTATTTTGAAGACATTCGTGGATCAACTGTTTACAGTTTCATTACACAATGAATTCCAATGTTGAAAAACAGTACTGCCGGGATGTTGTAACAAAAGTCTCATTAAATAGTTTAAATCGATGGCCGCGCGTCCTTTGGATGGAGTTAATAGTAAATAAATGGTGAATAGGAGACAACGGATTGGTCAGTGCTTGGAAGGTAATAATTAGGTCTTCTCTTATGTGTCTGTGGGCTAACTCGATAAGTTCAGAGTCTTGCGGTATAGCGAGGACTTATTCTACCCAATAGCTTTAAACTTTGTTATCCAGGATGGTTAAAATTGTACATTGTTCTCATTTGTTTGACATGGCATAATCTATACTGTATATAATTTTCGAAGTTGTTTCTTTTAAGTTTTCTTTGATGGCATGTTTTTTGGAGTTTACCCTAAGGATAATTCCAAAAGAAATTGCAAAAGATCTACTCCTCTTAAGATAAACTCTAATAAATTTGGTATCAAAGAAACATACCTCGAGATGTAATAAATAAACCAGGACCCGGTTTATTGAAAGCGAATTAAAATTAATTCGCGATTAACTTTTAATTGAGGTTCCTTGCTAGGTAACGTGCACGTTTTAATCAATCACGGGCACTTATTCTACATTTTAATCCTCTGTTAAATTAATCGAAGATTAAAATAATATTTAATTCGCGACATAGTTGATTTGAACGTGAAAATAACAAAAGTCAGTTTGGCTAGGATTCCAAAATTTTCATTCCAGGAGGTATTTGAGCACATCAGACGCAGTGTTAAAGTTTAATAACAAAAATTACAGAATGTCTAAAAAAAAATATCAGTAGAAATTTCTCTAATTTATCAAGGTCTTTCGAATGTATGTCTCAAGAAATATTGCTTAAAAAATTATCCAACTACAATTTCCCCATTGATAATGTCAATTTGCTAATAACTTATCTAACGGAGAAAATGCAGTGCGTAAAATTCAAAGAAGCAGACCTTGAATACAGGCGTAACTCAAGGCTCCATCTCCATCTCTGTTATTTATAATATACATAAATGACCTTCCAAGTCTAGTGAAAAATACTTGAGACTGAGAAAGACTGAGTAAGCTATTAATGAATAAAATGAAAAGCGGAAAAATGGTTTGCAATCGTTAGAGTATACAGGCTTATTCAGCTAACATGACCCATTTATGTTTTTAAAATAGGTAACCCAAAATACCGATTCCACCTGAACCTGGATTACAAAAATTGTTTCACGTCAGTGTCAGAACAATGCCTATGCATTCTTACGATAATAACCAAAAAAGCGACCAATCTTTGTGGTTGGTTTGTGGGTCGAAGTGCATGCTCCAGGTGCAGATGGTTACGGCCACGATCGTGAGTTTCAGGTTGAAGGTACCATAATCTTGGAGATGTACCGCTAATGCAAATGTCCCAATTACCATATCGCCACACTCTGGATTGGAAAGCTGCATCATACACAAATTTCAGCGACTGCTCGATGCTGACTGGCCCTTTTCGTGTTTTTCAGGTTGCGATTAAAAAAGTGCCTGATAAAGTCATTTTTTTGGTTCTTAATCCGAGTCGCTCTGTCCCATTCAATGTAGTAATTATGTAGCATTACCAGCGGCGCGTATAATAATTTATATTTAATTTCTAATACTCCTAATTTTTTCTAGGCACTGCTACCACTTAAGACCGTGAATTTTACACAGTGACATAATCGTATTGTGAGCTATTCTCCATTTGTTTTTGCATGTATTTCGCAATGACCTTATATAACTAAGTCATTCTCACTCCAGTGTTTAGAAAGAAATCAGTTTTAAAATGAGGTCAAAATGTCTACCAACAAGAAAAGTGTACCATTCTGTAAATAAATTTCTGGATGATACACTAGTTTAAATGCTTTATTAATATTTTTTTCACAATGAGAAAATAATTTACATATAATTATGAACCATTTTAATAAAAAAAATGCAATGTACAATTAACTGTTATGTTTAACTATAAATAGAAAATAGGAAAACATAAAATAAAGGTGGGTCAAATTTTGGGACACTCTGTATATTACTTCTCGTGTATATGGCCATCACGGGAAATTTACTTTGTTGCATACCAATTTTTAATTTAAAAACTTGTAAATTGTTTTACAGTGCTGCATAGACTTCGTGTTACAAACAAATTCTATTACCAGTCTCTCCAAATCTCCATAAAAGTTGGTAACTTCGTGTCTTTTGCTTTTAGAATGCTACGTACATAATATCTTGAACTTCTAATATTTCATTATAAATTTATTATGTGATCTCGCCAACTCCCTGAAAGTAAAGAGTTTTTTCATCAGCTATTGTAGTTACTTTAATAAGTCTGTGTTACTGGATAAATATTTAAGTAAACCAGCATGCGAGCCGTTCTCCATAATTTAATAACTTTATGACTTTATGGAAAAATAAGTACACATGAAAAAAAAGAGGGCGGATTTTTTTCTGAACGAATCGTTTGAGATTACACATAGTAAAAAAAATATCATTTTGATATGAACAAAGGAACAACAATTTTTTTCCTTAGAAATTATTTCAAACTTTTCTTGTTACGTGTATTTATTTATATATTTATTTTTGTTACAGCTGGTAGTCAACATTTTCTCTGAAGAGAATGCAGAGGGCGTTGCCTAGAAATGCGGGACCGTCCACTTCGGACGCCGACGCTACCAACCCCCTTGGACCCATGGAGGCCACTTTATCTTGCTTATGGGTGCTGACACCACTGACGGCCACTGTATCACTCCTAGTTGTTATTATAGCCATGTTTACTAATCAGTGGTTGCACACCGAAGAGAAGATGAATAATCCATCGTACAACGGAACTGGAGAAAAGGATTATTTGTCTAAACTTACCATTTCAGGATTATGGATGCTTTGCTTCACCAACCGTGAGTAATTTTTAATTAAATTGATCCCACGAGGAAAACAACTGATTAAAATCGTTTAAAGAAATATTTTTAAGTTCAAACGGACAACAAAAGGATTCTTCAATTTTTGTTCTTTTTTAAATATATGCTTTGATGAGTTTTTTGTGTTTGAGATTTTGTAAAACTAATTTATTGTAAAATCAAATTCCACCAGTTGAGTAGTAAAAATATTTCTACAAAAGATAGATAAATAAAATAATGAACCTAAGACCTGGTAACAAAAAAAGCATTATTGAAATAAGTGTTATAAATATTCTCGAGTTTATATTAAACAATGGATTTCAATCATTCTAGAACTATTTTCGCGAGTAATTATTTAGATGACCTCTAAAGAAAAATTTGATGGCGCCGATTCTGGATATCTTCCAGGCTATGCGATAGTTCTTCTATTGATCCGGATGTCTGAAATCTCAGTATAATGGACCAACGAAAATAATGGCTTTATGGTGTTTACTTTTCCAAACCCCTCGTTTGTGAACAGAGTTTAGGAGAAGCGTTGACAAGGGTGGTGGAGAAGTCAAAATCGCAAAGCCACTATTTTCGTTGGTGCACTATACTCTCTAACTTCTGCACGGCGAGCCCTGTCACAAAGACCAATTAAGAAAATTCTAATTTATGTAGTTAATAGAGAAAAGATCTATAACTATCAAATAACGTCGTGATCATTTTTTAAATCTTATTGTTAATTATTTGACTTGTTTTCGTACTATAGAAATTATTTTAAGCATGAGGTATTGTAATCGAGTTCATCTGCCGACTCTTCACTATTAGTGCTAGTTGCTATTGTTTTCTCAACGTTTCATGACCCCTACAATATGAAAAAAATGGTCTCCCGTTTCCAACTATCTGTCGTCCATCGTCTGTCTGTCGTTAAATAATCTCCGAAACTACTGGACCGATTGTTGTGAAGTTTTGTGTGTATATTTGGAATATTATTATACTCATTATATTGCGTACATAACATTGTCTAAATTTTATGTAATAATATACTCCTATACTTATGGTTTGAGTTTAGTTCATTTTATTAGATCTGTTTATTGTTTAATCCGTCTTGATCTTTAGACAGATTATAGGAACGTCAATCAGCCTATCGATGGCGATAGCGCCAATATTTAATAATATTAAAATAATAATTATCGTAATAACAGCTTGCCCAAAATTATGTTCGGCCCGTTCTACTCCATTGTAGCTTAATTCATTAAATTATTCCCCTCTTCTGCTTTGGGGAGATAATACAAATGTTAAGATTTTTCAAAATTGAAATAACCGAAATAACGTTCGACCATTTTTTTAAATGTAATTATAGTTTTAAGAGGTAAACAAGATTTTTCTTCTTTAAATAAATTTGCGGCTTCTAGTTCCATCTCTCATGTTTGTTTATTTATTCTGTACCGCTATTTTCGCGATCCTAACTAGTCAAAGGGAGTGAAAATAAAATATTCACGTGATGTATGGCAGTTTGCCTTTCCTAGAAGTTCTTGCGTTCTTTTTTGTTTTAATTACTGAGTCGTTTTCATATATAAATACATAAACTAGGAAATATAATTTACCAGAAATCTCAACTTCTGGCAAATTGTTAACTGAATTAATTCACTCATACGATTTTTTTATAACGCGAGTGAACTCTAAATCTGAAATTATATTTGAAGTCGTGTCTTACATTCTGAATAATTTACTCCATCGACATGAAATTGAGTTTGATACAAACCCGTCCACGAACTACTTAGTCGAAGTAAAAAGTTGACGATTTTTTCCCAACTGAATTGGCCCTGTTTAACACCGCCAAGAAAAGTTGTCATTTATTTATCGGAAATTCAACAACGCCATCCCAGATTATTTTCTGTTATCTCGAAGAAATAACCGAGAAGTTTTCTGTGTCCTGCGGGGATTTCTATCGTATTATTAAAATGGCACCGATTTCTAGAGCAAATTTATTAACATTGCACGAAAAGCAAATAACATCCCCTAGCTACACTATTTACCCTTATACGTTTCGCTTCAATTTCGTGTTAATTGATTGGGTTGTGGAGGCGCCCTTTGTACAGCGAATTATTAGATTGCACCCCTTCTACGTCATAATACACCACCTTCTACCGCCTTGAGTGAACGTGTTCTCTAGCACAATGCTTCTGATATTGTATATAGCCCATGTTGAGTAATAATGCTCAGGGGCGTCCCCAACTTCCCTTAATGGAGATATCTTGTATTGTAGCTTTGCAATTTTGCCCTTCAGAATGGCACAGGGTCACCCCATTATATTTTTATATATAAAAAAAAATCCGGAATAAAGGCTGAAACGGGGAAATTCCGGTCCGCCTTTCGCTTATACCTATTAATTTTCTCATGAAAAATGTTAGTATCGGAAAAACATATCTCTCTTTGAGAAGTAATTTATTTCAGTTTCTTTTAATACAGATCTCAAAGAAAACCATATACTTGGAGCCTTCAGACGCATGTACCGTCTTCCCACCAGCTCCCCTGTCAAATCCTCCACGGACAAAAAAGATTGCGGCCGATCCATCAAATTAACTGATCTCGGGTTCGGAAATTACAATCGTTGCTTGAGGGAGACTAAATCAGAAAGAATTATCATCATTTTTGTCGTAATTACATCGAAATCTCCCCTTTGGCCTCTTGGGTTTTGTCGGTAGGTCGTCCTACGCAAAACAAAATTCCGCATTGCCCTCGTGACACAAATTAAAATTAAATTATCGAATTTCTCAGAAGACGAGCAATAAAGGCTTTCCTGTTCCCTGCTAATTCCTTTCTGGCTTTTAATAACGGGAGATGAAGAAAAACCCTCGTGAATATGCTCTCTGCTCTTTGTTTACAGAAAAAATAAAGGACGGCGTAATAATGAAAGACTACTTGCCGGAATAACATGAAAATGCACATTTTAAAATATAGACAGAGGCGATTTTATTTTCACTTTTGTTGAATTAATGTGGGAACGAATCGAGAGGGAATTTTTCGGTCTTTTATCAAACACAAATTGTTATGTTGAACAGTGGCATCCCTGATGTGTGTTTATGGTGACATCTTTTATTCATATATTTTTTTCGGACGTGGCAAAAATTCAAGGTTTGGGGTTACCCTCCCGTGACTAATTGAGGGGAACGCACTTCCGAAAACAAAATATTACCCTCGGAAAACTGTTTATTTAAAAAACGTATACATTATACTCATTCGGGTTCGGTAAATATGTAAATTACTTTCAGCAAAGCTTATGGCGCGTTTCTAACAAAAAAATTTATACAAAAAATTAAATAACTGTTCATTACATACAAAAGTCGGAAATTTTACTCGAAAAGCTAATTAACGTTGCAGTTTCATAAATATTTACTCAAAGAACTTGTATATATACAGCTACCATAACTTCCATTCTTTCCTCACTGAACCATAGTTGCTGAAGTGTTTCGGCCCCATAACTTTGAGATATCTTTCATATCTTGCGGTATCTTCTTTCTTTCGTCTGCCGCTGATTTTTAAATTCTTCAACCTCCTCGTTGTTCATTTCTCTGGCATTTTTGCTAACGCTCCTAACTACCTTACTTTGACAGTAATTAAAAATCCGTCTCTGTACAACTTCATTATCTTCATTTGTTCTCCAGAGGTTCTTCTCATATATCTGTTTCTTTTTTCATCTATCTTGTTTAATATCTATGTTTTGCGTTCCTCGGAAGACGTTACGTTGTCCCAAAAATTGGAATTAGAGTCGCGAAATTTCCTAACGAATTGCAATCATCTCCTCCTTCGGAAAAAATATTGGGTTTCTTACAGATCACAAGTCCCATATTCCTATGTTGTTTACTATCGAGAAAATGTTTCATACATTTTTATTTGACATGAAAAAACTATTTATTGCCAACAAGAAATTACATCGTCGGAAAATTGATGGTCATCGTGGCAGAAAAATCAATGAGTAAAATTGTTTGCTTTTGCTTTCCGACATTTTCACAAAAACAACAAAAATCGCATGTTATCTTTATCCATTCGCTTTGTATTATTTCTCCACACACCTAGTTTGCGGCGCATATTTACCCAAAAAGTTTGGGTGGGCATGGAATGCAACATACATACACACTTGAGTTATGGACATTTTTTTATTTAAAACTACATGGATGGAGCGTTGCAGAGCTATTATAAAATAAAATAATAATAATCGAAATCAAGATGAATTCATACTCCAAGACTAGGAGTGTATTATTTTATAAAATTTAAACAACATTTATTATGCAAAATTTTGAAGTGACGACGTCAAATTGTTGGTGGAGACGATTAGACAAATTTTGCTTAGCGTTTTACCATCTACACGACATTTGATTAGTAGATATAAAATTTAACAACGATGATCCGTAATTTCGGATATTATATAGTCTCCCTAATAAAAATTGACGCAGATGACAGATGGACGACAGACGGAAACATCAAAGTAGCCATTTGCTGGATGAAACCTATTAAAATATTTCATTGGCTTATGCTCGAAAAGTAAAAACAAGCAGCATACAACAAAAAAATAATATGTAGTTAGAAAACTGGAAACACCATTTTATTACAACATTTATTTATAGTATTTATACATATTTATAGTAACATGTGAACAGTTTTTTTTTTTGTTAGTCTTTGCTGAACAAAAAGTAGACAAACTAGTATTGCTGGTATTACTAGAGTCTTGGGACAAAAGTTATTATTATTACTTTTGTCAAATTTAACCATTTTATTACACATATAGGAATAGAAGGTAATGTTAATATTTGTGTCACGGTTTCTGTGTTATTGCTTATGGAGTCATCAATTATCATATAAATCATTGATGACTTCCACGTATCATGTGTTTTTGTCTGGAGCAAATCCGCACCGGTACCGCTGAAGTCCTGTGGAAGCAATGGTCCGTAAATAAATTAGGATTATCTAAATAAGTGTCACTTATTTGGGATAAAGGCCAGATGTATTTAAACATT